TGCTTTTTTACTTTCTACCTACAGTCATGTTGTAGCTCATTTGTAAAAATCATTCCACTTGTAAAGTTAACCATCCATTAGTCAGTAAGAGCTGTTCCCACTAATTGGTGGACTCCTGGGGAAAGCAACATAGTTAGAGGTTAGTGTAATGGCCCAGGTGCCCTTCACTTCTATTTCTGGTTCCTTCACTTACTTGCTGTGTGGCCTTAAGCAGTTTTCCTTAATTTCTCTGGGCCTTGTTTTCCCCAAGAAGTAAATTTCCCACTTACTCTTCTTGAGGGATGCCAAAAGATCAAAGGAACGATGTGTGTAGGGCTTTTTAAAGATGCCTAAATGACGTGCACTAGAAACCCCTTGATTTAATAGGTATGAATTAATACATTCTTTGATTATTGGTAGAACTACGTATTTTAGCTTTTTAATTAGCTCCTTGGGTATAATTGGCCATAGGCATTACTATGGGAAGGGAAGCCGCCCAGCCATCCCGATGATCATTATGGGTGCCTGCTGTGTCTTTAGGCGGAGGGGCAGAGGGAGCTGGCAGCTTTACGTGGTGGGGGGTTATGACGGCTGCACCGAGCCAGCGCAAGCTCGGGAGGCTCCCCTGAGGTGGCGCAGACCATCGGGGCTGCCCCGAAACCAGCTCAGTCAGAGCCCACCTTACCCTGTTTACAAAAGGGAGGCAAGGTGGAGCATCTCCTGTTTGTTGATTTGATTGTAGTGTTTGCTCTGCCGACCTCAGAGTGAGGTATTTAACGGGGCCTCTAAGCCATGGGCACAAGGACACATGGGCAGAAATGCCCCAGACCCCATGAATAGCATGATGCCTTTCCAGCCAGCTGCACCCCGGCACTGGGCAACGGGCAGTGGCTTCCACCCTCCTGGTCCCTCCTGCCTCCATATTCCTGTCGCCAGCTCACCCCCACCCTCCTGGTCCCTCCTGCCTCCATATTCCTGTTGCCAGCTCACCCCCTCCCTCCTGAGTGAAGAGAAAAGGATCAGGCTACTGTTCTGACATGCACACCTCCTCTTCTGTTCCCGGGACCCTTTTGCTTTTGTGTTTAAGAAGGAGTCTTGCTCTGTCACCCAGGCTGCAGTACAGTAGCACGATCCTGCCTCACTACAACCTCTGCCTCCCGGGTTCTAATGATTCTCTTGCCTCAGCCTCCTGAGTAGCTGGGATTACAGGCACCTGCCGCTACACCCAGCTAATTTTTGTATTTTTCGCAGAGATGGAGTTTTGCCATGTTGGCCCAGGCTGGTCTTGAACTCCTGACTTCAAGACATCTGCCCGCCTCCGTCTCCCAAAGTGCTGGAATTGCAGGCATAAACCACCATTCCCAGCCTGTTCCTGGACCCTTCTAATGTCTCAATGCAATAATCTGATCCTAAAAACCACCCATCCCTTCACCTCACTCTTACCCTTCCTTCCCAGGATTGCATTTACAAAACAAAAATTCATGCTTAAAGCAAGCATCAGGGGGAATCCATTGTTCTGCACCCTGCTACAAAAATGCATCATCCCGGGGATATGCCTGGGAGCCAGGACTCCATGGTTCACAGCCAAGGGCAGAAGCTGGAGGCAGGGCCTAACCTCAGGCAGCTACAGCAGCTACAGCAGCCACAGCAGCCACAGACAGGGCCATGCAGCAGAGTCCAGATGGTTTTGTTCGGGCCCTTTGGCAGACGCATGGTTCTCCATGCCGAACCGCATCAGGGAGCACTTAAAGCAAAGCTTGGTTTGTGTTTTATTTTGCATGGAATGAGGGAGAGAGGAGTTGCCAGGGAAACAATCCCTCAGAGCGTTCTGCTCTGGGGTTCTTCATCAGGCGGGGAGGGGGCTTCCCATGAAAGGCACAGAGGGGTTCTCAAGCATGCTCACACCTGGTTCTGCTTTCTTTCCTTCTCTTGGAGGGCCTGAGGGTCCCACCTCCCGGGCCTGCCCATTAGGCTGGTAGGCACCTTACCCCACAGAGCCTGCCAGGACCAGTACACGCCAGGACCTAAGGCCAGGATCAAGTCCACAAGGAGCAGGGCCCAGTGCAAAATGGAAATGCTGGGCCCCTTGATCAAGCCCATTAGGTGGGTTCAGTGTCCACTGCTCGGGGGATGGGCACACCAAAATCTCACAGATCACCACTAAGGAACTTACTCAACCAAATACCTCCTGTTCCCCAAAAACCTATGGAAATTAATTTTTTAAAAGCATATAGCAACAAAGACAGGAAAGGAGAGGAGAAGGAGAAGGAGGAGGGGGAGGGGGAGGGGGAGGGGAGGAAGGAAACCTATTAGGAATTTCAAGATGTCAACAGCAGAGCATGAAACCAAGCCAAGGACCTTCTGAGCAAAGGGCCCTCAGGTCGCATACCCAGAAGGCCGATCCTGTTCAAGACTTCACTTTGCCTGAGCAAGGCAGGTGCAGGATAGGGGCTGAGGGACCCCCGTGGGATGCAGCCAACAGGACCCTTTCATTGAAGTACCATCCACATCCCTTACTTGAGAGGAAGGGAGAGGCACTGGGAGAAAAATTCTCTGTGTTTAGGGATTTGCAGCACACACATAATTTTTTTAAAACCGAAAAGTCAGGGCTTGGAATCTAAGAAAAGGAAATCTAAGAACAGAATGATTCTGGTTGTTCTGGAGTTACTCTCTTTTAATCTGCCGGGATTTGGGAGAAGTAAGAACATTTGGGATTCATAGTAAGATCTAAGGTCACTTTGTGCCAGTACTGTGCTACGATCTGTGGCTGCTGAGATCTACCTTAGAGCGGTCATTTTTGCCATTTTACAGAGGGGAAAACTGAGGCTAAAGGAAATACTGTAACTTGTGTCGGGTCCAGCAGCTTAGAGCCGGAGTTGGGCACGGTGGCTCACGCCTGTAATCCCAAAATTTTGGGAGGCCAAGGCGGGCAGATCACTTGAGGCTAGGAGTTGGAGACCAGCCTGCCCAACATAGCAAAACCCCGTCTCTACTAAAAAATACAAAAATTATCCAGGTGTGGTGGCATACTCCTGTAATCCCAGCCACTCAGAAGGCTGAGGCACAAGAATCACTTGAACCCGAGAGGCAGAGGTTGCAGTGAGCCGAGATCTTGACACCACTCCAGCCTGGGGGACACAGCAAGAGTCTGTCTCAAAAAAAAAAAAAAAAGGAAGTGGAGCTTGGATTCAAACAGATGTAGTCAGACCACAAAGCCTGCCCGCCTGACCACTTTGCTCAGTGTACTGCCCCCAGGTTATGAGGCCAAGGTCGTGTAACCTGTTCATTCTGGTATTTTTGTAGCTCTGGCTAAGTTCAGGTAGAATGTGTCTGAATATAAAACACCTGGGGACCAGAGAGGAAATTTGGGTGTTTTCATGGATGGATTTATAGTGGCCAAGCATCAGACAGAAGCATGAGACCTGGGTCTGTGTATTTTAGTAACAGACTCCACTAAGGCGCTGTTGAATCTCTGACACAAAGCTGTCAGCCAGCACAGGCCTTTGGGCCATTTGCTTTCCTTGCAGTATCTCTCTACCCACCTGGAGTTGATGCTTAACAAGAAAGAAAAATACAATTTCCTTGGGCTTCAGAGTGAAATGCACTCTGAGCCGGGGACAAAAGAGGCAGCTCTGTAATAAGAGAGAATAGATATTCTGCTTCCCAGTATTTACACAGGAAAATAATTGTAAAATTCCAGAGAGTAGATTGTGAAGATAAAAGAATGCGGCTAGTCCAGAAGCACTTTTTATTCCAGCTCAGTTTTATTTGGGGTTCTGGGTCCACTGGCCCAACTGCTGACTGGCAGTGTCCCCAGCCCGGGAAGACAGGGTGGGTCGGATACAGGAAATGGCCATCACGTCTCTAAGGTGGACAGAACATGAGCGGGTCAGAGGGTCAGGAGCCTCAGGTCCAAGGACTCTGGGCAAGACCCTGAAAATCACTTAAGTCAGTGGCCAGAGAAAGAGGGGAGTCTAGGGAAGCAGTTCCCTGCAGAAAGACAAGATTCCTGCTTTACCCCTTCTTTCTGCAAAATAAACAGAAATTCCAAGTATATGGAAGGCGATGCAGTAACCATCAAATATGAATGCAAATGCGTGTGCACACAAGTTGAACCTCCTGTGACATTTCCCAGAGGGTTAAAGTAACTTTCTTTTTCATCCAATGAAAGGAACCCCCTTCCTGCAGCAAGTGGATGCAGCCCTAATTACTTCCAAACATTACAGTCGGCTTCTTAGTTAACGAGCTCACTGGTCCGAAGGAGGAATGACTGCCAGGGCCCCTTCATTCCACTTCTCACCCTCCCTGGCCAAGCCCGAGGGAGAGACTGGCTGCAGCGTCCTTCCGGGCGACAGAACTCTTGGTTTTCTTTGTGCTGCAGCAAGAAGAATGGGCTTGACAGGCTCACACTGTGATCTTGAGTTGCCTGCCCCCGAAATAAGGTCCCAGCCTCCTCCGCCCTTTGCAAGGCTCTTACACATTAGTGAGCAGGAAGTGGAGTCCCGATGGGAGGCTGGGAATTTGAACGCCTTCCCATTTCAGCACTGGAGGGGAGGAAGCTCAGTTCAGCACTCCACGCAGATGGCTACCGCTCCCTCCTGAGCACTCGCTCCTCTCCCCTCACCCGCCGCCTTCCCTGCTGGGTCCCTCTCCCCCGTCTCCACCTCTCCTCCCTCTCCTGGAAGGGAAAAGTCTGCCAAGCTGGGGACTGCCACGACCAAACCAACAAAGGCGGACCAAAGGCGGAGAACTTGAAAAGAACTTGTTTTGTTCCAGTTAAGGAACCTGCAGGAAAATCCACACCCACGTTGCCTGGTTTTGAACTGGAGAGCTGCGAGTGTGTGTGTGTGTGTGTGTGTGTGTGTGTGTGTGTGAGTCAAGCAAGAGGCGGAGGAGGCACAAACCACGGTCTCTGCTTTGATAAGGAGACTGCCAGCTGTGGAAAGTTAACCAGCAGACGGGGGAAGATGGCCCAGGAACTGGCCCCTCCTGAGTTTTAAACTTCGCTGTTTTCTGTCCAGATATTCCAATGGAGACAGTTGGAAAACCTGTACTTCAGAGAAAAGAAGTTTTCCGTGGAAGTTCATGACCCACGCAGGTAAGCTTGAAAAGTCCTTTTCTTGCGGGACGGCGTGGCTCTCGGCCGGGCATGTTATTGATCTTATTATTTTGGGGCTCTCGTTGTTCATGGTCAGTTTGGAGTGGAGGGGGGCAGTCTCCTGGGGAATGGAGCTCCAATCAGGCAGTGAAACTTTCTTTTGGATTACATGTCTTGATAAATGCAGTGGGTTCGCACGTGTGTGTGTGTGTGTAAGTAGCAATCCCTGACCGTCTCATCTGGCCACATGTGTCCCTGGCTCGTGTGTGTGTGTGTCAGTGTGTGTGTTTTACCTGCACTGGAGGGAAGCTTTATAGCACTTTGTAACACACACCAGTAAGTCCCCATAGGAAACCTTTGCTACAGAAGAGTCTGAAGAATCGCTCCTTAGAGCTTCTGAAAGTGTTTCAGGCAGGACAGTCCATGCGAAAATGAATCTGTCACCAAAGCAGTTGTGCTACATTGTTTTATTCCAGGAGCTGTAATTTTAGGATGTTAGTATCATGGGTGGATGTGAAAGAAATGAAATTATTTTTCCCTCCACCCAAAATCGTACCCCAGACAGCACCAGGGTTGTAAAAAGTCCCTGTACTCTTAGATGTGAGACAGTGCGGCCCCAGGTTGGAATGCAGGGAGCCCCGAGTGACTGGGGTCTGGGCAGCTCATACCCACTGTTTTCCTCTCTTTTTCTCCCGCTGGACCTAAAGTTATAGGCATCCCAAAAACAGCAGCGTAATTCCCTAAAACCAGGCCTGACAACTAAGAAATCACTTTCTGTGAGGCCAGAAACATTTACAATAAGAAGGTAGCCCTGGAGAGACGAAGAAAACATCAGACTCTACAGAGGAACGAAAGTGGATTTTAGGCGCTGTTGACGCTGCAGCCCTGGGCTTAGAAAGAGGACTTGGCACCAATTCCAGCTCACACATGGCTTCTGACACTCAAAACAAGCCGCGGTACCTCCCCATGAGCTCTGGACAGGAGGGAGATGGGAAGTTACCCCGCCCAGTGCAAGGGCTTGGACCTGTGCAGTAGCCCCTGTTCCTGCAGCCCATGATAACCTGGCAGGAATGAAGCCATGCTTGCCCTCCAGGGTAATCTCCCTGAAACAGCCACTCCTGTGTAGGGGAAAAGCCTATCTCAGCACCACAGTTACTACAGGAATAGTTAGTGGAGAGCAGCTGAGAGCTTCTGCATCTCTGCAGTCAGGTGAAGATGGTAGCCTTTAACAGAAACATATTTTATCCAGTGTTCCTCAGGGACCTGCAAGGGGTTTCGTGGCCAGAAGTCCCAGTCCACAGAGCACAGATCCATCTGTGCAGGCCAAGCAGGGCAGGCAGGGAGATTTCAAAAATAATATTCCAGCCAAGAAGAAACTCACTGTTCATTTTTCAGGGGAACTGAATCGGACCATTTTCTTAGGCATATAAGAGCAGGGGAAATTTAAGTACAAAAAGAGTGAAATGAACTTTGCCACAATGGGTCAGATGCAGAAAGGGGATGCTCCAAAGGATAAAAATGGGGGGCTGGGTAATCTAAGGGGCTGAGCGCAGGGAATAGACCCTCCTCCATGCCTGTGCTCTGCTGGAAATTCAGTGAGCACCCAGGCACCTTGGACAAATCCTTTAACCACGCATGCGTCTATCTGCGTATGTGTGTTCGTGTTCTCTCTGCGTCTGTCACCCTGTCGGTGAGTACTGCTAAATTCTCTTTCCCAAGGCCCAGGGATATAGGAAAGAATCTAGACCTCACATGTGACTCTTCAGTGGGTCTGTCGCCTATTAGACAGCAGTGATCAATGTCATGTTTCTTGCGAAGCTTCTGTGTCCTATTCAGGCACTGTGTCAGCCGTGGCAGGGAAGGAAGGAAGTCGGAGGCAGGGTCTTCTTCCTTAGCAATCTTCTAGTGTAGCTGAGAAGACAGGCAGAAGAAGGAACTTTTCTGTTGTTGTTGAGACAGGGTCTCATTCTGTCACCCACGCTGGAATGCAGTGGTGCGATCATAGCTCACTGCAGCCTCCACCTCCCAGGCTCAAGCAGTTCTCCCACCTCAGCCTCCCGAGTAACTGGGACTACAGCCACACACCACCATATCCAGCATTTTTTTTTTTTTTTTGAGAGACTGGGTCTCACAGTGTTGCCCAGGCTGGTCTCAAACTCCTGAGCTAAAACGATCCTCCCATCTTGGCATCCCAAAGTGCTGGGATTATGGGCGTGAGCCACTGCTTGGAACCTGCCGAGAAGAAGGAACTCTTGGAATGTCACAAGAAACAAAGGAACCTGCTCTAGAGGACAAGTAGCTAGTATACAGGAGAGGCAGGATTTGAACCTAGGAGGTCTGGCCCGGAGCTCATGCACTTTCTCTACTGTACAGAAGGGCCAGCTATCGTGGGCCATGAAGGGTGAAGGACAGGGTCGCCAGAGGCCTGGCTGGTCAGGAAGGGAGAGGCTTGCCAGGAAGGAGAGGTCTGAGTGGGACCTGGAGGGGTAACTAGGATTAAAGCACGTGGTGGGCCCTCAGGGTGATATAAATGTCAGGTGGGAGCTTCTCAATTAGGATAAAGAAATGAGGGAGGGTCTGGCTGGAGGAAGGAGCAGATCTGTCTCCTCCCAGGCACACTCGCTCTGAGTACACGGAGTTAGCCTGCAGACAGGCAGGAATGGGGGAGAGGCCCAGGGAGGCCGGAGGTGGAGACCCAGGATGACTTCAGCATTAAAGACACACAAGGAAAGGAAATGGCTTCAGGTCAGTCACTTAGCATGGTGGCAGAGCCAGAGCTATGAGCTGTAAGGTCTTTCTTGCACTCAGTTCTCTTTTTCACATCCTAGTGGTGCCTTTTTTCTCTTGTATTGGTAGTTTTCTCTTATATTTCACTTATTCATGAGCCACGTGTGAGTGTGTTACACGCATAGAACATGGAATGATCAAGGCAGGGTATGTGGGGTATCTATGGCCTTGAGTGTTTACTTTTTTTTTTCTTTTGAGACGGAGTCTCACTCTGTCCCCAGGCTGGAGTGCAGTGGTGCGATCTCGGTTCACTGCACCCTCCGCCTTCCAAGTTCAAGCAATTCTCCTTCCTCAGCCTCCCAAGTAGCTGAGACTACAGATATGCGCCACCACGCCCAGCTAATTTTTGTATTTTTAGTAGAGACGGGATTTCACCATGTTGGCCAGGATGGTCTCGATCTCTTGACCTCGTGATCCGCCCGCCTCAGTGTTGACTATTTTTACGTTGGTATCATTGCACGTCCTCTCTTCCAGTTACTTTGAAATGAAACTTGTGGTGCTTTTTAAGTTGAATGTGTCGTCCTATTGCTTGTGGCCTTGCTTATTTGAGGTTAGGGAAGAGGAATGTGATTGGCCTCATGTTAGTCTGGTGTTCCCGGCTCAGCCCCTCCCCCAAGCCAGGCAGGGAGTCAGAACCGCAGTAATAGGATGGGCAGCGCCAGATGCAGTCATTTTAATGAAGATGGAATTGATGGGAATCATTGAGGGCAGAGGCTGCTTTCTGGGCCGATGGGCTCAGGTGTGATTGCACCATTCCCTGTGGCGTACCAGACGAACACTGGGCACTTTCTCCCCCTGGGCATCCTAACTCAATGCTTAGCTTCATTCCTGAGCTTCTCCAGGCTGGGCCAACATTTCACTTCTAAGGTTTGGGCAAAATAGGAAGGGCCTGAAGCGAAAGATGAGGAGAGGAGATAAAGTAGTAATAGAGCAGGAGAAGAACTCTGAGTATCTGATTTAGACAGGGGAACTACCCGGACCTGACCAGCCACTTACCTCTTCTGCCCTCCTGGTACCTGAGAAATGGAGGTACCTAGCCTTGCACCGCCTTTCAAGATACTTTTCTTATCTCATTCAGCTTTTCTGAGGGGGAAAAAAGCCATTCATTTATTTCCAAGAGCAGCAACCGCTATGGAAGCCAAGCTGGGAGCACAGATCCCTGTTTTCTTTTAAATTTAGCGAGACTGGGGAGGGATCCCTCCTCACTCTCACTGGCTCCTTTTTTCAATTATTTTCAACTGTGCGCTCTTTCACGTGCTGGCTTTTTTTTTTTTTTCTTCACTTGTGTTTGAACCGAAGGGAGAAAAAAACCTGTGTAGACTCAGTGTCATTACCCACCAGATTTGAATTTCTCCTTAAAAGTGAGGGTGAAGAAGACTCCACTTTAAATCTTTAGCTCCCCCAAAGTAAGATATTGCCTGGCAGCTTTGTTTTCTTTAAGGGAAAATTAGCCATGAAAAAAAATGTTACTATTTGCAAGTGCTGATCACCCCCAGGTTTCTTCCAAATTAGATATGTTAGTCTTGAGAACACACATTTTGTTTCTGATATCCAGGTAAAAGGCCCCAAATCCCAGCCCACCTTCCCATCAACTTGTCACACATTTGCGCGCACACACACACATGCAAACACACATTCTCAGATTTCATTTGCAAAATAATCTGCCTATCCTATAAAATATACTTCACTAAGAGCATGACCATATAAGTCCTCCTGACTCCATGAATGTGGTGGATTACATAGAGATCAGCAGTTCCTGTTTTCACTTTTAAAGTCTGATTACTCCATGTAGGTTTAAAAATGTATAGAGAAGGCTAGGCACAGTGGCTCACGCCTGTAATTCGAGCACTTTGGGAGGCCAAGGCAGGTGGATCACCTGAGGCCAGGAGTTCCAGACCAGCCTGATGAAACCCTGTCTCTACTAAAACTACAAAAAATTAGCCCAGCGTGGTGTGGACACCTGTCATCCCAGCTACTTAGGAGGCGGAGGCAGGAGAATCGCTTGAACCTGGGAGGTGGAGGCGGAGGTTGCAGTGAGCCGAGATCATGCCACTACACTTCAGCCTGGGCGACGGAGCAAGACTCTGTCTGGAAGAGGAAAAAAAAAAAAAGTATAGACAGAAGTTGGGGGAATTGGGGGTGGGCACATTTCTCTCTGCCTTTCCTCTCCTGATTGTTTGTACCCTCCCTGCCCTCTGAATAGATTAGAAATTGATCACCAAATCTTCAAGGAACATTGGGTTAGTTATGTAAGAAGTCCCGATTCCCTGGGACACTGTAGCCTGTGGTGATTAGAAAATAATTTACTCATCCCCACCGCTGGCACATTTCCTGTCTCACAGGGAGCATCACTGAAGGTTTTCCTGTCTGCGAAGTTTGTCTGGGCCCAGTGCCAGGTCCAAGATCGAAAAAGGACCATCCAGTGACCTAGAATGACCCACCTTATCCCAGACAAGGCCGAGACTTGGCCAAATTCTCAACTCTAGGGAGTCAGAAAATCAGAAGGTGGCCTTTGCCAGCCAGTGTCTCTGAGGTGTGTGTGAGTGTGTGTGTGTGCCTGAGTGTGTGCGCGCGTCTAGGTGTGTGTGAGAGCTCAGCTGTCACCTTTCAGCCAGGGCTTCTAGGACCCAGTGGGTTCTCTACAGAAGCTGTTGACTGAGAAATGGTTTCTCTCAACAGAAATGGGTTTGAACCTTGTGATTCTTGCTTCCCCAGGGCTTCAGTGACAAGGAGGACGTTTGGGCACAGCGGCATTGCAGTGCACACGTGGTATGCATGTCCAGCATTGATCAAGTCCATCTGGGCTATGGCCATAAGCCAACATCAGTTCTATCTGGACAGGAAGCAGAGTAAGGTGAGTGACCAGACCTCTCACCAAGCCCTCAGCCAGCTTAAGAGCAACCCGGGCCATTGGCTGCCTCTCTCGGTTTAGGAATGAGAATCGGACGGGTTGGGGAGGTACCATGTCCCTTGCCCAGGTCCGTACCTTGCACAGGTACAGGCTTGCCTCTTAGGGTTACAGGTGGGAGGGTTGAAACCAGCTCTTCAAGAGGGCACATTCCATGCAGCTTGGTCCAGGGGGCTCTGACCACCATCGAGCGGCTCAAGCTGCTGACTACAGCCAGCTAGGCCCCTTTTGAGGAATTCCCACTGTGCTTTAGGCCCTCGGGAGACTCCCCTAGCAGTGTGAAGGCAAGCCCTTTTTGGTGTTTAAACAGTGCTATACTATCTTCGTTTTGAAAAGAAAAAAGTAATCGTTCTGAAGGAATAGACACCACCTAACTGTTTAGGGTAATTGCTGTGAAAACCCGCAGGCGGTTCCAACTGCCAAGTCCTTTTTTTTTTTTTTTTTAAATGCAAAACTGGAAACGTTAAAAAAAAAAAAAAAAAGCAACCGCCCTGTTTCCCTAAGGTAGACCTAGAGCCTGGGGCCTTGGTAAACAGTCCTCCTCCAAGGAGATGTCACCACCCCCGACTCTGGGCACACAGCTGCGTTTTCTGGTGGGTGAGAGGATGACGTCTCCTTGGTTCACACAGGGCTTATATCAACACTCTGCCCCCTCTTCCTCCAGCCCTGTCTCCCCAGACTCCCCTGTCAGCCCCCCACAAGCCGCTCCCATTCATTCTCCCTCAGGGGAAGAGCCCTGCCAAGATGGCCCTGCAGCTTCTGTCAAGATCCTGCTGGCTTTGGCTTGGGGAATACAGACTGAGGTCACCCTGGGCCCCGGGCTAGTGATTTCTAGCAGTTACTGAGGATTTCCCTCCATCGTGTGAGTTCTTGGGAGAAGGTGGCAGGACGCTCCACTTACTGGGCACAAGGGTCACTGCATCGGTGCCCTCTCGGGCTCTTTCTCTTTTGCCATCTTATCCATATTTTAAGGGGTTTCTCTTTTTCTGGGGAAGAGGAGAGTGAGTGAGTTGAGGATCAAGGGAGAGGTGATAAGAGAAAGATAGAAAAGAGGACAGGGCTGGGCACAGTGGTTCACATCTCTAGTCCCAGCACTTCGGGAGGCCAAGGCAGGAGGATCACTTGAGCTCAGGAATTTGAGACAAGCCTGGGCAACATAGTGAGACCCTCGTCTTTACTAAAAGAAAAAAGAAAAAAAGAGAACAGGAAGAAATGAAACAATCCTTTTAGTTATAATTCAGTTTTAAATCGGGGTCTGTCCCCTGCAGCCATCATTTTCTCCTTTGTAAAATATTTTGTCCTCTACTTCTTTCTGACCCCCTTTTTGGTCATTTTCTGGGATGAATGAGTGCAGGACAGAGAATTTCTGTTGTTAGGAATAACGAGAGTATTCTCCACAGCTCTCCTGGCATTGATGGGTCCTAGTCCTAGCACAAGAATTTGAAGTTCGATTAGATCAAAAGAAATGCGGCCAAAGGTTTTTGACTCATGCTTGATATTGACACAGTGGGTGCGTGTCAGGGTTTTGCTGTCCAGGGGCAAGAGTTGGAGGTGGACACCTGAGAACATTAATTTCATCCTCTATGGTTGGGTGATGGATGCTGCAGGTTAGGGGATTGGGCAATGCTCCTGAACCCCACTGCCAATTCCCCTTGAGGGCAGACCCCCCACTTACTGTACCACAGTGTGGAAGGAGGAAAACGCGTATCTCGCCTTGAGGATAGCACACCGTTGGCTGTTCAAGCTCCTCCCCTCTGCTCTGGTTTTTGCATAGGGGGTCTCTTGAGCATCTCAAGAAGCTTGTTTTATGGCTTTCCCACCACACCCTGGAAGACGGTCTCCTGCAGTTGGCAAGCCTTGTTATTCAACAGGCTAACAGGTCGACTCACTGACACAGCAAGTACATCTTAAAGAGAAATGATTGGCCAGGCGCCATGGCTCATGCCTGTAATCCCAGTACTTTGGGAGGCCGAGGAGGGCTGATCACTTGAGGTCAGGAGTTCGAGACCAGCCTGGCAAACATGAGGAAACCTCATCTTTAGTAAAAGTACAAAAAAAAAAAAAAAAAATAGTCGAGCATCGTGGCAGGCACCTGTAATCTCAGCTACTGGGGAGGCTGAGGCAGGAGAATTGCTTGAACCCGGGAGGCAGAGGTTGCAGTGAGCTGAGATCACATCACTGCACTCCAGCCTGGTTGACAGAGTGAGACTCCATCTCAAAAAGAAAAAAAGAAAAAAGAATTATTGTAGATGACTTAGTAACAAGACGTGTCTTTTAGGAGGCAAAACCAAATGCCCATAGCATCAGGAATGTTTCAGCTGTCCCTTTTGTAAAAGTAACCCTTGGGGACTGAAGAAAATGCCCACGCTCCCAGGAGGACAAGGAGAACATTTCCCAGGAAGCCTGGCATGCTCACATATGCCCTAGAGCCCTCACACTTCTCACAGGACCCGGTTCCCCAGCCTGCAGTGATAGGTGAGGATCGCGACCCTCTACGTGGGAACTGGAGGCCTCTTTTCCAGCTCTGGGACCCTGGGTGGGTCTTTCATCATTGGTGCTTTCCTTCCCCACTTAGCAGCAAAGGAAATTCCTGACCTCAACTAGTGATTGGTCAAATGGCACCACGTTTGTGAACTTGCTTGAGGAAATACGTGCCATCTTTTACTAATGTCATTGTTAATCTAGCATACTATCCCTGGCCAACACTTGCTTGAAGTTTAAATTCTCTAAAAGGTCCGCAAATTAAATCAGAGATGATGACATACCCTTTGGGAATTACATTACAACACCTTTTTGTTTCCGGAATGTTCTTTATAGAACAGTGATGTGATTCATCTCTGATGGGCAGCACGGCCTCTGGGTGAGTGATGGCCGACAGGGCTGGGACAGAGAGCTTCGTAATATTTCTAGGCAGCCAGTTCTGGCTGGCATCCTGGTCACTGCTCACACTCTACCATACTGGGACGTGCCAACCATTCCTTTCTCTGAAGAGCTTCAGCAAAGCCCAGGCCCCCTAAATGGTGTTTATCAACCCCAGAGAGACTAGTGCAAGGGTGGGGAGCCATGAGCGTTCAGGGGCTTCCCTGACACTCGGTTATTTTCTTCTTTCAGGGTCACTGTGCAAATCATTTAAGGAAATCTCTCCTCCTTTCTCTCTGCCTGTCTCTCCCCCCCACCGCCGCCCTTCCTCCCTCCATCAGCTCTCCACGCATATGCATCAAGAAACCATTCTACCATCTAAGACAGGGCGGAGGGAGGCTGTGCTGGTTGGTTATTTGTAGCTCCTTCAGAATGAGAAGCTGCACAGGCACCAATTGTAATTGGTAACTTCTGTGCTGACCCCAGAGATCAGAAATGTTGTCTGCTAGATCCCAGCAGCCTCTGAAGCCCAGAGCCAAGGAATGTCTTAGAGACTTTGCAGGAAAATATTTGAAAGCTCAAAATGTTTAGAGTCAACGTTAGACACTTTTCCCTCTGAACTCAGAGTGGGGACTTCTTGAATTGGCCCCGAATCCAAACGTCTTTCCTTCTTCCTAATCTTTTTTGTTTCTCCCTGATGCAGTTCTCCATTTTATTTAGGGTCAAAGGGGGACAGGGACATTGAAGTTTTGTTCCCACAGTGTCAGAAGACCGAGTCACATGTATCAGGCAAGACTCCCAGAGCAAAATGTTCTGGAGTCTGGGGACTCCTTAAGTTTGGCCCAGAGACCTGCCTTTGCAAAGAGAGACTCTCCCTGACAATGCCCATGTCCTCCCGGTCCTCTCCACCGAGTCTGTTATGTCACTGTGATATTTCCATTCTAGAAAGAATCTAGGCCGGGCACAGTGGCTCATGGCTGTGATCCCAGCACTTAGGGAGGCTGAGTCGGGCGGATCACCTGAGGTCAGGGGTTTGACACGAGCCTGGCCAACATGGCAAAACCCCGTATCTACTAAAAATACAAAAATTAGCCAGACGTAGTGGCCCACACGTGTAGTCCCAGCTACTCGGGAGGCTGAGGCAGGAGAATTGCTTGAACCCAGAAGGCAGAGGTTGCCGTGAGCCGAGATCGCACCACTGCACTCCAGCCTGGGCAACAGAGTGAGACCCTGTCTCAAAAAAAAAAAAAAAAATCCAGTGGCTTCCTAAAGCTTCCAGGAATCTAGTCTCTTTTAGGAAGGATGCCTTTTGTTTCCATATTTTTGTTTTAAGAATGATGTGTGGCAAGAGTTCTGGTATGACAAGGGGGACAAGTTTTTCATGTGATTTATGAGGTCCTCAAAACATCTGGTTAGGCCATCAGTCTAACCTCGGTTAGCAAATTACAGCCAGGCCCCAATGCAGATCCTATTCTTACTGCGATGGCCTTTACATAAATTGTCTACTTTTGTTATCTCAGCTCTGGGATGTGGATTTTAAGACCTCCATTTTACAAACGCGTATCTGAGGATCAGGAAGGTGAAGGGTCAAAGTCCGATAGTGATTCACTGGGAAGAGCCAAGGTTCTAATTCAGGTCTTGTTTTGAGACAGAGTCTCACTCTAGCACCCAGACTGGAATGAGATCAGGCAGTGGCGTGATCTCGGCTCACTGCAACCTCCGCCTCCTGGGTTCAAGAGATTCTTCTGCCTCAGCCTTCCAAGTAGCTGGGATTACAGGCATGCACCACCACGCACGGCTTATTTTCGTATTTTTAGTAGAGACAGCGTTTTGCCATATTGGCCAGGCTGGTCTCAAATACCTGGCCTCAAGTGATCCACCCACCTCGGCCTACCCAAAGTGCTGGGATTACAGGCTTGAGCTACCACGCCCGGCTCTAACTCAGGTCATTCTGACTTCAGAGCCCAGACCCTTCGCCCAGCGCTGAATTGGTCTAGGCCTTCGTGAGTTATTGTTACATCACCGTTTGGGAGTGGGCTACTTTTTATTAGAACCTGGGTCTCCGTAACAGAGTGGTGCAGTAAGAAAGGAAGTCATGGATTGTACTCGCCATGCTTGCTTAGAGGGTAAAACTCAACCAGATGGGTGCAATTGATAGGCTGTGTCAAATTGAAATCAAAGGCCCTTTTCCTTCCTTCTGCGGCAAGCCAAAATCCTTCGAGGGCCTGGCAGCCAGGATTGTTTTATGAACAAGAAAACTCGCCTGAGGAAGTCGTCTTGGGTCTGAATGCAAGGAAAAACGTTGAGGTTAGGAAGGAAGCATAAGTCGAGGAAAGGCTCATGGGGTGGGGGGGAGGAGGAGGAAGAAGACAGTTCACACTAGGTGAAGAAAACAAGCACCATGTCTCAGCGTTTCCTCTGGCCCACGGACTTCCATCATGTTAACATGAGGTCGGAAGTTGTTCTTGCCAGTGTGGACAGCAACATCGAGGGCAGAGGAAGCGCAGAGCTGCAGGCGTTCAGACAGCCCTGGCTGGACAGTAAGGGCCCCTGGGCGCGGAAGGAAGGCTGTACACAGGGCATCCAGGAGCGGTGGGTCCACACCCCTCCATGGTCTTCGCTACTGCCCCCACACCTGCTTTCTCCTGCATGGGAACGACCTTGCGTTCCACAGGCCAGGCAGGAAGCTACAATGATCAACCTCGCCCAGTTCCACCCATGCGTGTGCTGTAGACGGTGGCCACAGAAAGGACAGATGAGCAAGTGACCATTTCTAGTTGTTTTCATGAAGTTCAGCGTACTGGCAAAGCCTGTTGCCCAAGCACACTCACAAAAAGTTGATTTCCTGAAGAAGAAAACAAGCAGACATTTGACACACGTGTGGGAAATGCAAACACGTTGTCACTACCGAAGGTGGAAACTGGAGCAGGTAGCCTTATAAAAACCACTGCTTTAACCACTGCTTTGGCTGGGCGCAGTGGCTCACGCCTATAATTCCAGCACTTTAGGCTGCTGTGGCAGGCAGATCACTTGAGGTCAGGAGTTTGAGACCAACCTGGCCAACACGGCAAAACCCTGTCTCTTCTAAAAATACAAAAATTAGCTGGGCGTGGTGGTGGACACCTGTAATCCCAACTACTTAGGAGACTGAGGCAGGAGAACCACTTGAACCCAGGAGGCGGAGGTTGCAGTGAGCCAAGACTGGGCCACCGCACTCCAGCCTGGGTGACCGAGACTCTGTCTCCAAAAAAAAAATAAAATAAATTTTAAAACCACTGCTTTTAGGAATGTAAATGCGAACACAGACCTTTTTTCTAATTATTCTCTCCTGCTGTGACTTTTAACCAAATAGAGCCAATCAACGTGGATTAAAGGGAGTGTTGGGCACACGCACTTAGGTGTCAAAATACAAGCAAAGCACCATGTCACACATTCATTGGTGGGACCCCAGAATCCAAGTGAGCAGTTTTTCCACAATCATGCACCCTGTGATTGCAAGTCTAAAGAGCTGTCATTGTCATTTCTCTCTCTTTTTTTTTAAGAGACAGGGTCTCACTTTGTTGCCCAGGCTGGGGTGCAATGGTGCAATCACAGCTCACTGCAGCCTCCAACTCCTGGGCTCAAGCAGTCCTCCTGTCTCAGTCTCCCAAGTAGCTGGGATTACAGGCATGCATCACCACACCTGGCTAATTTTTTTATTTTTTGTAGAGATGGGATCTTGCTATGTTGCCCAAGCTGGAGAACCACTGTCACTTCTCCATCAGCTAAACTTTCTGTGACCACATGGCAAACCATTTAAGAGGCTTAGTTTATGTCTTTCACAACACTGAAAACCATTTTATCCTCCTTGTTTAAGCACCAAATAATTATAACCACGGTGTTTATTGAGAGCTGTGTGCCAGGAAGACAAGGAGGAAGAAGGGAGGACAGGGGAGTTGGGAGGGGAGGAACACCCTTCCCACACTTTCTCTCCTTTGACCCGAACCAACCCCTGGGTGCTGAGTGGCATCTACCCTGTTTTGTGGCTGGGAATAATAAGGTTCAATGAGACTGTCACTTTTCCTAAATCAGGACATTGTCTTAAGCACACCGCAGTGCAGCCTGCAGAATCAGAGGCTTAGAACATCCTCCCTCGGTGCAGCTCTCGAGCTGCTTCTGCTCTTTGCAGAGAGTTTTGGTGATTAATGATTAGGCCAAGGGATGCAAACAAAAATGCTGCACGTCAGTCAGGGAGATAAGTCCCTTTGTGGAATGTCAAGACGGTGAGCAGGGGCAGGCGAGGGATGACTGTCCCCTCCGCAAGGTGAGCGTCACTTCTTTGACCTGCTTCCCTCTCCATTCCAGTCCAAAATCCATGCGGCACGCAGCCTGAGTGAGATCGCCATCGACCTGACCGAGACGGGGACGCTGAAGACCTCGAAGCTGGCCAACATGGGCAGCAAGGGGAAGATCATCAGCGGCAGCAGCGGCAGCCTGCTGTCTTCAGGTAGGCAGAGGCCAGCTGGAGGGATGCCCCCCTGAGCATGGCTCGGACCCCAGAGGGGACCCAGGAAGGTGGGGAGAGCTGCAGCAGGGGAGACTGCTGGACGAGCTGCTCCAAAGCTGGCTCTGCTTTCCAGACCAAGTTTGGGATCCAAATGCGAATCTGAGAAAATTGCTCCGAAGCATCAAATAATGGAAGGGGGAAAAAAAAAAATCAGTAGAACCACGCAGTGCAGGAAGGCCTGCTGGTCACACTTAAGTGTCTTCAGGTACCCCCCAGAGCCTTTCAGAATGCCAATGGCAAGCTGTCGGGAATGTCAGGTCCAAGGGTGGACAAGTGGAGTCCACTCATGTACCCACTCGTGTGTTGTGAATTTCAGGATCTGGTGCCAGGAGACACTGCATTCTACTCCCAGGTGGGTTTCTCCGGCTTTTACAAATGCAGAATACTGTCTCCATCGTGTCACAGGGCGTGGTTTCTCCATTCAGGGCCTTTTGAAATTGCGAGTCAGAGATCTGGTTCCGCCGTCCGCTTCCGCCAGCCTTGGCCAAGTCATTTTGTCTTTTGATGTTGGGAGGGACAGAGGAGTTCCAAGGTCCTGGATCTGGCTGACTTAAAAAGAGGGGTGCCATTCACCGAAATGGCAGGAGGAGGAGTGGGTTTGAAGGAAGCAGGGAGGGAGGGAGGCAGCTGTGGTTTAGAAATGTTAGAAAAGTGCATTGTGGCCAGGCATGGTGGCTCACACCTGTAATCTGGGCACTATGGGAGGCCGAGGCTGGAGAATCACTTGAGGCCAAGGAGTTTAAGACCAGCCTGGGCAACATAGTGAGACCCCATCTCTACCAAAAAAAAAAAAAAAAAAATAGGTGTGGTGGCACATCACCCATAGTTCCAGCTGCTTGGGAAGCTAAGTAGGGAGGAGCGCTGAGCCCTGGAGGTTGAGGCTGCAGTGAGCAATGCACTGCACTCCAGCCTGGGTGACGGAGTGAGAGCCTGTCTCAAAAAACAAAACAAAAAGAAAAGTGCAACATGAGAAAAAACCTGATTGATGTAGGAACCGTGCAGCTGTCTCTGAGCCATGCAAAGAAGGCAGTAAGTCTTCCCTGGTAATTTATATTACTATATATAGTGGCTGTAAACAATAACAAAAAGGAAAAGACAGGAGAGGAAGAGGAGCTAAAAATTGTCTCATTAGCTTCTGGGCTGGTGTGATCCAATCATAGCCAGGAAAAAGTTTAAAGGACCAGAGAGAGGACAGACATCCTTCCTGGACTGAGAGGCGAGGTTACTGTTCTGGTGAGTGGAGCATTAAGTTCAGGGCCCCTCCTTGGACAGGCTGAGGCCCTGAGGGGACCTTAGCAGTGTGTTCACACAGTCATGTGTTTTCATAAAATCTGTGAACATAATACATTTTGTATTATTTTTCTTAAATAGAACCGCTAAAGGCCGGTGCGGTGGCTCACGCCTGTAATCTCAGCACTTTGGGAGGCCGAGGCAGGTGGATCACCTGAGGTCAGGAGTTAGAGACCCATCTGGCCAACATAGTGAAACCTCATCTCTACTAAAAATACAAAAATTAGCTGAGTGCGGTGGTGCGCACCTGTAATTCCACTACTCAGGAGGCTGAGGCAGGAGAAACACTTGAACCCAGGAGGCAGAGGTTGCAGTGAGCAGAGATCGTGGGCGACAGAGCAAGACTCTGCCTCAAAAAAAAAAAAAAAAACCACTAAAATTATATAAGCTTCAAGCCCCATAAACCTAGATCTGCCTCTGCCACATCACCTGGGGTTCACTGTCAACCCCTCCCTGCCTTAGGTTCTTCGAAAATGTGACATCCGAAAAAATGGGCTTAACGCTCATTCTTTCTGAGGCTTGGGAGTTTGCCATGAAGACTGCAGAGAATGTTGTCTTCAAGGATCAAAGAGAATGAAATTCAAAGCCCAAGACCCCTACCTCGAATTACAGCCGCTCCCAGTCTCCTGCTGAATGACCCAGAGCAGAGTCAGAGCCAACACCTTGTTTGTTTTAAACACAACCTACAGTCGTTTTTTCCTAACCCCGGGAAAACCCAGTGTCAGATTAGAGAGGCTGCATCTCTCAGCCCACCTTTCCCCTAGCACAGGGAATCCGGCTGACTTCAGCTTGGATTCTTGAAGCTCAGTGGTTCTCAGACTTCGGCATGCATCGGAAGCGCTTAGGGGGCTCGTCAAAACACCTCTGGAGCTCCTGATTCTGAGGGTCTGGCGAGAGCCTGAGAATTTACACCTGTAACAAGTTTCCAAGTGAGGCTGATGCTGCTGGTCTAGACACTAATTGGAGAGACTCTCATTACTGAGGAAGAGACAAGCTTGAAGTGGGTGTGTTGTGCAGGATCATAGAACCCAAGTATGCCCAGTTTTAAGCCCATGTCCTAGTCCATCTGCACCGGCCCCCTTGTATCTGGCAGACTCCAGGGGGCACCAAGGCAACAATTTACCTTAATAGCAGCTATAGATGAGGCTGTGAACAGGACCCCCAAACCTCCTGAAATGAAATTGACATCATGCACTCATCAGAAATGAAATCTGGCTGGGCGTGGTGGCTCACGCCTGTAATCCCAATACTTGGGGAGGCCAAGGCAGGTGGATCGCTTCAGGCCAGGAGTTTGAGACCAGCCTGGCCAACATGGTGAAAGCCCATCTCTACTAAAAATACAAAACTTAGCCAGCATGGTGGTGCACACCTGTAATCCCAGTTATTTTCGAGACTGAGGCAGGGGAATCACTTGAACTCGGGAGGCAGAGGTTGCAGTGAGCTGAGATCATGCCACTGTACTCCAGCCTGGACAGAGTGAGACTCTGTCTCAAACACACACACACACACACACACACAGAGAAATGAAATACAAGCGTCTTTAAGACTCGAAAGCAGTACGTCTGTATGCCCACAGGCTGGACATTGCTAATCAACCTGGTGGGCTAGAAGAGAAATCCTAAGAAAATCTTCCTGCCTAATCCACCTGTACACCTAATAGATAAGCATGGGTATACCAAGACATTGAAGTGATCTTCAAACGCTTCATCATTCAGCACTGGGGCCCCAGGCTAAGGTGATTAGGAGTTAGTAGCAGCAGCTGGGGCCACTTGCAGAGCGGCTCCCATTGTCAGCTTCAGTGCCCTCAGCCCTTTCTGCAGCTGCACAGCTGAGCAAGAAGAAACCCTGGCGAGAAGGTGAGAGAGCCCCATGACTCAAGCCGAGGGCAGGTCCCACTCTTACCAGCCCTGCAAGTTTGAGCCTGAAAAACATCCTTTAATGCCAGGGTGGAGGCTCCTTGGGGTGCCCCACACCCACCTCCTGTGACTTAGGAGAGCCAAGACAGTGGAGGAACACACCGCAAACGGGAAACATTCCATCAGGGAACAAAGGGAATTTCTAGCACCCCTAGATCTTGTTCTCCCTCCCACTGGGATGGCTGACGGCAGCCCGTGTTTCCCTGCACCAGGAGAATAAAGCTTTCCCCGATGAAAGCATTGGCAGTGCCATCTGGAAGGGGGTGATTCCACATCCCTTGCAATGGGGAAATCCAGCCTTGGCCTGAAGATCGAGGTGGCTGGCTCATCTCCACCCCCTTCTTCCTACCTTTCTGTCCTCTTGCCTAGAATGTGTTCCCACAAAGGGGACAAGCCCCGCTGCTTGCAATTCCAGGACAACTCTGATTGTTACCACTCTTCTTACTACACTTGCTGGATTTTATTTTCTGACGTTCATTCAGAAAAGGTGATACATATAACCCAGTATCCAGTTTGGTCAACTGTTTTCTCTCTTTCACCTCCTCATTAGATAGTATCTAATAATTGTTCCTTAAAAGCATTTTGAGAAACTAGTCACCATTTCAGAATTTTCTTTTCTAGCACTTGCCCAGTACCCAACACCCAATAGGTGTTTAATGCACAGTTATTGAAATTAAAATAAATTGTGAAGGATACTAGTAAGACTCCTGCATGTGCTGTGCTTTAGGAATCTTCAGCCCAGCACAGCGGCTCACACCTATTTGGGAGGCCGAGGCCGGCGGAGGTGATGGGAGGGACGATGTGGGTATCACTTGAAGCCAGGAGTTCTAGACCAGCCTTGGCAACATGGCAAGATCCCATCTGTACCAAAAAAGAAAAATCTTTTTAATATGGCTGGACATGGTGGTGCGTACTTGTATTTCCCACTACTTGGGAGGCTGAGGCTGGAGGATCACGTGAGCCCAGGAGTTCAAGGCTGTAGTGAGCTATGATGGCATCACTATACTAAAGCCTAGGTGACAGAGTGAGACCCTGTCTCTAAAAAAAAAAAAAAAGAAAAAAGAGAGAAAGAATCTTCTAATCTTCTATGTTCCTAGAGTGTACAGTACCTTGGGCCTTGCTGGTACCTCCCATAGGATCTGCCTCCAGTATTTTTTCCCAAATTCTACTGTAAGCCTTTATCACACTAGTATGCGACCTTTAAAGTTTGTGTCGCATCAGTCTCCTCTTGCAGTAGTGTCCATCCTTGTTATCTTTCATTCCTCCGACCCTCTTCTGTATTCAAATCATAGTGTGTCTGAGCCATGTCACAACACTGCAAGAGTTCTGTGGTATAAACATTTCTGCTAGTCCCAACTCTGCCAGGTACTATACACAGCATTTTAAGAAGTTATAGCCCCCGTCCCTGCAAAGAGTTTGTGTACCGCTTATTGATGAAAAAAAAAAAAAAGACATAAAATGTTGATAAACTGTTAGTAACTTTGAAGGTGGTTTGCCTATTTAAGGACACATAATTACCTTTAAAGGTACCTTTACTACCTTTACTGAAGTCTAGTACTTGGTATCTGAGGCCTCAGATGCTAAAGAAATGAAGAGTGTCATTGATACCTATTAAAGAAGCCAGGCCAGCCACAATGGCTCAGGCCTGTAATCCCAGCACTTTGGGAGGCCAAGGCGGGCAGGAGTTGGAGACTAGCCTGGCCAACATGGCGAAACCCCGTCTGTACCAAAAAT